CTTTGATCTTGTGATCCTCCTTTCTCAGCCTCCTGAACCACTGGGATTATAGGTGTGTGTCATTGCGTTAGGATGTGCCCAGCTTTTCTATTCTATTAATTAATTCAACAAATTTTTATTTCATGCCCATTACATGCTCACCCTGTGCTGGGTACTGAGACAAGATGAATAAGATGTGGCTTCCCATGCTGGGCATGGTGGCACACGCCTGTAGTTCCAGCTGCTCGGGAGGCCGAGACAGGAGGATCTCGAGTTCAAAGCCAGCCTCTCAGCAACTAGTGAGACCCTGATTCAAAATAAAAAATAAGAAGGGTGGACGTTTTGGCTCAGTGGTAGAGTGCTTTCCTAGCAAGTGCGAGGCACTGGGTTCAATCCTCAGCACCACATAAAAATAAACAAATAAATAAAGGTATTGTGATTGTGTCCATCTACAATGAAAAAAGTATTTAAAAATAAAAAAATTCCTGGATAAGGTGGCACATGCCTATAATCCTAGTGACTTGGGAGGCTGAGACAGGAGGAATTAGAGTTCAAAGCCAGCTTCAGCAATGGCAAGGCATTAAGCAACTTAGTGAGACCCTGCCTCTAAATAAAATACAAAAATAGGGGGGCTGGGGATGTGGCTCAAGCGGTAGCGCACTCGCCTGGCATGCATGCGGCCTGGGTTCAATCCTCAGTACCACATACAAAGATGTTGTGTCTGCAGAAAACTAAAAAAAATAAATATTAAAATTCTTTAAAAAAAATAAAATACAAAAATAGGGCTGGGAATGTGGCTCAGTGGCCACGTGCTCCTGAATTCAATTCTTGGTATCCCCAAAAATAATAAAATAAAAATTTTAAAAATAAATAAAAAGGGCTGGGGTTGTAGCTCAGTAGTACAGCCCTTGCCTGGCATGTGTGAGACACTGGGTTTGATTCTTAGCACTGCATATAAGTAAATAAAATAAAGGTCCATTGAGAACTAAAAATATGTAAATATTTTAAAGTAGGGGGGCGGTGCTGGGAATGTGGCCCAGTGGTTAAGTACCCCTGGGTTCAATCCCTAGTACCAAAAAAAAAAAAAAAAAAGAAAATGATGGGGCTTCTTTCTTGTGCTTACAACATAATAATGGAGAGATTCGGGGCTGGGGATGTAGCATGATCATCTGGCATGCATGCGGTCCGGGTTCGATCCTCAGCACCACATACAAAGAAAGATGTTGCTGAAAACTAAAAAATAAACATTAAAAATTCTCTTTCTCTCTCATCTCTGTCTCTCTCTAAAAAAAAAAATAATGATGGAGAGATTCCACTTATTCAACAGTATTTATTTTTTTGCAGGGCTGGGGATCAAACACATTCTAAGAACATGTTCTACCATTGAACTACTTATAGCCCGTGCAGCTATATTTATTGAGGCTCTTTCTATGCCAAGCGTCAGGCTTGGCACTTAGACTAGGGATGACATAGATGGGTCCTGTTCTCCTGGAGGATTCAGCCTGTTTTTTAAATTTTTACTTATTGGGATCGAGGATCAAACCTAGGGATGTTACCTCTGAGCTACATCCCATTCCTTTTTAAATATTTTTTTAGTTGTAGATGGACACAATATCTTTATTTTCATTTATTTATTTTTATGTGGTGCTGAGGATCAAGCCCAGGGCCTCATACATGCAAGGCAAACGCTCTACCACTGAGCTCAACCCCAGCCCATCCCCATTACTTTTTATGTTGAGACAGGATCTCACTAAGTTGCTCAGGCTGTCCTCAGACTTGAGATCCTTCTACCTTAGCCTCTCCAGTTGCTAGGATTACAAGTATGCACCCTTGTGCTGGGAGAGTACTCAGTCATTTTTTGTGTGTGTGGTGCTGGGAATTGAAATCAGGGCCCTGTGCATGTGAGGTAAGCACTCTACCAACTGAGCTATATCCCCAGCCCAGAGTACTCAGTCTTATGAGTACTCTAGCATGCTAGAGGATAGACAGTGTCAGGGCTACATCCAAGGTTCAGAGGTATGGGAATTCAAAGAACAGCAATGTCACCTGGAAAGGACAGAGGTGGCACCTGAAGATTTTGACCAACAGAGGGGCCTAGGAAAGCCATTTCAGGCTGAGAATAGCCTCTACTCATTTTGTTCCCTCCTCAGTAGGCCTCTCCTCATTCTGGCATCACCAATCCTAGAGCTCAAACTAACCCCATCCTGGTTTCTTCTTTTAGGCAGGCTGGGACTAGGCACCAGAGAGTCCCATAGCTGTCCTCAGCAGGTGCTGGTTCCCTTAGGATTGGAAGCCCAGCGGGTTGTATGTGGCATCGACTCTTCCATGATCCTCACCGTGCCTGGCAGAGCCCTGGCCTGTGGGAGCAATAGGTGAACAGATGCATCAGGATGATTACCATGTTCCTTTGCCCTCCTTGGCTGCCACATGTCCCGTGCCTCATTGCTCTCTCCCACCAAGGGAACTGAAGGGGGTTGAGGGTGCTGCCTGGTTCACCTCAGGATGAGATCTGTCTTCTGATGGGATAGATCCTACCAGCCCTAGCCTAGAGAGGTGGGGGGAGGCAGTGTATACAAACTGTCAGTTGCATTGGTTTGTGGCTTTGCCTTTAGGTTCAATAAGCTGGGCCTAGACCATCACTCCCTTGGAGAGGAGTCTGTACCCCACCAGCAAGTAGAGGAAGCCCTGACCTTTACTCCATTAGGCTCTGCACCCCTGGATCGGGAGCCCCTGTTGAGTGTTGACCTAGGTACTGCTCATTCAGCTGCTGTGACTGGTGAGTAGTACTTGAGGGGGACTCACCTGGTCTCCTTGGGACCTCTGTTAAGGTGTCCCTTTCCTTCCTCTTCCCTTTTCCACAGCCTCAGGTGACTGCTACACTTTTGGCAGCAATCAGCATGGGCAGTTGGGTACTAATGCCCGCCGGGGCAGCCGGGCACCATGTCGAGTCCAGGGCCTTGAGGGCATCAAGATGGTGACAGTGGCCTGTGGAGATGCCTTCACAGTAGCCATTGGTGCAGGTGAGCGTAGGCATGATGGGGCAGACTGAGGTATAGATAGTGGGGAGTTATCATGCTCAGGACCACTGGCCTCAGCAATCTCCTGTTGGAATCAGTATGGTTATATAGTACTTGCTTAGGCTGTACCCTTTCCCTTCCCCTTCCCACCTTGGGATTCTCTCTGGCAGAGGGTGAAGTTTACTCTTGGGGCAAAGGAGCCAGAGGACGACTAGGAAGGAAGGATGAAGATGCTGGGCTCCCTCGGCCAGTGCAGCTGGATGAGACACACCCTTACACAGTGACGTCTGTGTCCTGTTGCCATGGAAACACTCTCCTGGCTATTCGACGTGAGTTATCTTTTCCCACCTTATACACATAAGTGTTAACCCAACTGTCCTCTCCCCACAAACCTATCCCCTGCAGTTATACCACAAGCCCCCAGGATAAATGAAAGCAGAAGCTTCCAGGTAAAAGTCTGAGCTTTCTGCTTGGGTGGGCAAGGACTGGGTTTTTGAGCCTCATTGAAAAGGTTACCTCCACTGCTCCCCAGAGCTCACATGCATTCTTTCTCCTCCTACACCCTGGGTCAAGTTGATGTTGAAAATCCATTCCTGGCCCTGGACATTCCAAGGCCCAATAGGAGTGGAGGTGGATGCAATGCTAGCTGGAGGCACTGCCCTCGGGGAAGCTGCAGGGATTTCTCTTTAATACTCTCCAGCAGTCACAGATGAGCCAGTCCCCCCTTGAGGCACCAGGACACCTCTGGACCACCCTGATATTGCTTCTCTTCTGAGTATTCTGAAAAGTTTAGGTGCCTAAGGCATGACTTCCCACCAGCCTTCTGGATTGTGATATCATCAGGATGGAAGTGACAGTGAAGTCCTGCTCTGCTTTTGACCCTAGATAGGGAAACCTCAGCCACCTCTATTCCCCAGCATCTCCTTTACCTCTTTCCTTATTCAATATTCATAGTGGTCCAGCCTCATTGGAGTTGGCAGCCAGACCTAGTCTTTGGAAGCAGGGTGATCTCCAAAGCCATCCCTAAAAAAGCCATCCCTATGGCTCTACTCAGTTCCTGCCCTCTCCCTCCGCTCATAAATAAGTCCTTCATGACCCCTGTGAGACCAACTCCAAGCTTGAGTAGGGCAAGCTGGAACCTGCCTGGACTGGCCATTGGGCCTGCCTAGTCGCTGCATGGCCTGAGACAGGAGTGTCTGAGGGAAGCCTCCTGCCTGCCCCAACCCCTCCTGCCTGCCCCAACCCCTCCTGCACAAACTCTGAGAGCCTTCGTTTAGGGGAGTGCAAGAGTCATGAAGACAATCAGGGCAGAAAGTTGCCCAACACCCCCTGCTTGTCCCCGAACCCTGGTTGGGGGAAAAGGTAGTTGGCTCAACTAGACAGGTCTCCCAGAAGACTGGAAGTAGCTCTAATAAAAATTATCAACTGCCTGCCTGGAGCATGGTCTCTTCAGGGGTGGGTGATGGTGGCCAGAAACCTCAGTACTGGGTTGGGCCCAACTACTTGCCATTGCACGGCCAAAGCTGAGGCCCAGGGAGGAATGTGGGAGCCGCCAGGGGCTGGGGCTGAGGTTCCTCTGGCCCAGCGCCCGTCCTCCTCATCCCAGCCCAGTGGGGCTCCTCTGATCTGGTTGCCAGGCTTCGGCTGCCTAGCACCTGGGGCCCCCGGTCCCTGGGTGGTGCGTGGCCCTGGAAGCCCAGCTGTGGCCTCCGGAGAAGCAAACTTTTGTAGCACAGCCCCACTCCCCCAGGGCCCTGCGCTTCAACCCAGCGCCAGGGAGAAAGGAAGCTTGGTGCTAAGGGAAAGAAGCCCCGGTTCCCGGGAGTGGACGAGCACGGCTCACGTACATGGCCCGGGAGTCAGTCTACTCACAGCTAACCCCAGAACTAAGGCTTAAGGTGTGGGCGGGGCGCCCGGCGGGCCAGGCACTAGGACCGCGCGGGCGCGGCTCCGCCCCCTCTTCCGGCGGGCGGCCTTGCGGGCCGGGCTTTGGCCGGGGCTGCCAGTCGGCGCCGCCCGGAGCCGCGAGCGCGGCCGGAGCGAGGCGCGGGCTGTGGGGCCGTCGCGTGCCCGGCCCCGCTTGCCCGTGCCCGCCGCTCTCCCGCCATGCCCGGCTTCGACTACAAGTTCCTGGAGAAGCCCAAGCGGCGGCTGCTGTGCCCGCTGTGCGGGAAACCCATGCGCGAGCCCGTGCAGGTTTCTACCTGTGGCCACCGCTTCTGCGACACCTGCCTGCAGGAGTTCCTCAGGTGCGGCTCGGGGGCATCCAGGGATCGCCGGTGGCGGAGAGGGAGGGAACTACTTGGGGAGGGGCCCAGTCCCAAAGCACGCCGGGCCTTTGTCTACGCCGCGGGCCCGTGACCTCAGGGGCGCCCACCGTGACGTCACAGGGCGGCGATGTTGTCATACCCCAGGGGAAGACCCCACGCACTTATTCGTAGGGTCCCTGATCCCAATTGCCAGGCGCCAGGTGGGAAGAACTCCGAGCCTCCCAGCCATGCCGACAAGGGAAAGACGCTTTTCCTGACCTATGGCCGGCCCTTCCCCCTCACCTGAGGGGAGCGGCCTTATCCTTGAACTTTACATCTTTCAACAAGAGAAGGACAAAAACCCTCTCTCCCCCACTGCACTTTAAGCCTTTGGAGAGTCCGTCGCTCTAATTTCTGTGATTCTTCGGGCGCTCAGATACCGGTCGCTATTGTTCTCCCATTTCACAGATGATGAAACCAGAGATTCAAAGAAAGGCCGCGACTTGCCCGGGGTCACACAATCGAGGGCTTGATTGTGATTCGGGCATGGGCTCCTTGTGGTCACACAATAGAGGGAGCATTGTGATGCTACAACCCTTCCCTGAAGCGGGTGCCCTTTGGGTGTCTCTTTTCTCTTGGAGAGGGGCGGTCTTGAGTACAGCGGGTGGGCAATACACTGTTAAGGCGGGGGTCGACCCCTGAACGCCCCTGCCCACTCAGAACCCAGATCACTCCTTGTTTCTTGGGCATCCGTCAAGTTTCTGGGCGCCCTGCGCGGTCTGGAATCCAACCTGTCCACTCTGGAAACTGATCAGGCTAGGGTGTGGGGAGAGGAAGTGAGAGAGCGTGGGGACTCCTGGCTAGGTCTTGCCGTCGGAGCTCGGGGTTTCAGCCACGGTTCAGGAGGCTGTTTGCTGTGCGGAGGGGCCCAGACCGGGAGAGCATGTCTGGGGCTCCGGCTGCAGTTATCCCACCCTCGGCTCTCCGCAGCCCCTAGCTGGCGGAAATCTCCACAGGCCCTTTGTTTTTTGTTCCCCGCAAGCCGCTCAGCCCCTGCCCTCACATACGCTCGTGCACAAGCTGCTGTCCTGCCCCCTCCTCCCCTTCCCCCTCCTTCCTCCCTGTGGTGTACACACTTAACTCCCCTACAGACACACACGGGGCCCATTGTCTCGGCAGCCCTTCCCCAGCCCTTTGGTTTCCAGATGAGGCCAGCTGAGCCAGCCCCCTCCAGCTGACCCACCCTTAACTGTGATTCAAGCCTGGGGAAGGAGAGGGGGATGGGGACTGTCAGACCCGTTTCCCTCCCTCCCCATCTACTCCTCTGGCCCCACTCCGTTGCTTCTGCCCCTCCCCCCCTCCCGGAAATCCCCTCTTCCTCTCCCACAGCCCCCTCCCCCCATCCTGTCTTCTCCCCTGGGCCTGGGCCTCCACTGCACAGCCTGGAGCAGGCTCTGTCCCTGCTTCCCCCCTTCCCTCAGCGCTAGGAGCTCTGCTGCCCGCGCTTCTGGAGGGAAAAGGTGGTTGGGCAGGCTCTGCCCCTGGTCGACACTCCTACTGTACAAGCTAGGTTGTCCATAGCCCTAGCCAAACCTTTGTCCCGGCTGGGCCCCAAGCTATAGGGTAAGCTTCTTCCTGAAGCCTAGAAACTTGTGTTACATTGTCTGCCCTGTGTCCCATCTGCCCCCGCCCCCCAGCCATTTCCAAAACCACTAAGTCAGCACATTCCTGAATCAGCCAAGTGGACCCCTCCCCCTTTGTCCACCCCTCTTTCTTTCCCCATTCCTGCCAGGGCCATTACTCAGGTTTGCCAGTAAGGCTGGGCACATATTGTTCTTGGCATTGGTGGAATGGCCAGTGGTAGTGAAGGCAGGGAGGAGATGGGTGCTAGAAATCATTCTGGGCACCTGGGGCATGGATTGCCCAGGCCTGGAAAGTGCCTTTAAGACAGGATGTTGTGAGGCCTCTGCTTCCGCCTTGTTGCCTGCCTGCCTCCCACCCACCTGACTCAGACCTGCCAGGAATGCCATGCCTAGGGGCCTTCAGTCCTACCAGACATGTGTGACGGGTCCAGGCTGGGGTCAGCAAGGGCATGCTGCAGGAGGAAGTGTGCCACCAGAGTCCTTGAATACTAATAGCCAGGTAGGGATTGGTGGAGAAGGGGACAACTGAAAGGAGGGTGGGTCGGAAGCCTAGACAGCTGTGACCCAAGTCTTGGCTGTGTTTGCCTGGACATTTTGGCCTCCTCTGTGCCTTATGGTACAGTAGAGCCTGTCTGGGCTGCTGAAACGGATATAGACATATCGAGGTGCTACTTCATCTGTGAGCCTCCGTTCTTTCACCTGCAAATGAGAACATTTCAACTCCTCAAGCAGGTGGTGAGGACTGGGTGGGAATGTAAACACAGTGCCAGGGATCTTGTCTTTCCTCCCTTTTCTTTTAGGAGACACACCCTCAAAGAGGAGGGGAAGGATGGCATAAGTGGCCCCAAGCTGACCTTTGCCTTGGTTCTTGGCCTGGTACCTTCATGGGGGCTGGGTAGCCCTGGCACTTAATCTCAGCCCATCCCTGTTCACCCTCCCCATCAGCTTCAGCCCAGCCAATGAAAATGACCCAGGGGGGAGGAGGTAGCTGGGCAGTTTGTTTTTTCCCAGTCCAGCTGCCATCCAGGGAGGAGGTGCCAGCTGCCACCTGTTGGCCAAGTGCTGTCTGAGGCAGCTCTCTCTGCCTTCACTGGACCCTGAACCCCTTTTCCCAGGATTAGGGCTAGGGTCTTCTGAGGCGCTGGAGAAGTGGGTTCCCTCAGGCCTCTGCTTGCCTCATTGTCTCAGCTATGGCTGGTTGGGAACCGGTCTGGTAAGGGATGGAGGCTCCTCTGGTTTGGGGGGTGGGGCTCAAGGATCTCCCTTCCCATAATAAAGAGCCTTGACACTGCCCTCTCTCCTTTTCAGTGAAGGAGTCTTCAAATGCCCTGAGGACCAACTTCCCCTGGACTATGCCAAGGTGAGCCTGCAAAGCTAGGCTAGTCGGAAGCCCAGATTCAGGCTGTTGCCCTTGGTGGAGGCTGGAACTTACTGGCAGCCAGTGGGCTCAGGGCCAATGTCAACCCAGAATCTTGGGATCGCGTGCCCCCACAAAGGTAGCCTGTTCTCTCCCACCAGGCCAGTTTGCAAACGGAGGCCTGTGTTTGCCCTGGAGGGCAGGCACAATGCCCAGCCTATGGGGGTGCACAGAGCTGCTCTGTGCGCTTAAGAAGTGTTCCTTCCCTTTCCGGTGGCAAGTTAGACCTGTGGCTGAGGGCCAAGACCCCTGTATCAGGGGGAAGGAAGCAGAAGGTGGGTGGTGCTACAGCCTGGGACTGAGCAGGCTGATTGGCTGTCTCTCCAAAGGGTGCCAAAGGCATGTTAGGGACCCTGGGATCCAACAGCAAAGCAGACACCACCTGCTGTGCCTTTTATCTTTGGGCACAGAGCAGCAAATAGCCCAAGAGAGGCTGTTACTGGCTCTAAGTGGAGCCAAGAAACTGGGGATGGGGAATGGGATGAGACTTGGGGTTTATAACAGATTCTGACCCTGGCCATTTCTCCCCATTCTCGCTTCCAGATCTACCCAGACCCAGAGCTGGAGGTCCAGGTGCTAGGCCTGCCCATCCGCTGCATCCACAGTGAGGAGGGTTGCCGCTGGAGTGGGCCACTTCGTCATTTACAGGTGAGGTTCTATTGGTGGGGGTGGAACTACCCCAACCTCGGCAGATGCTGACTGCAGTTCTTCCCACCAGGGACACCTGAATACCTGCAGCTTCAATGTAGTTCCCTGCCCCAATCGCTGTCCTGCCAAGCTGAGTCGCCGTGATCTGCCTGCACATTTGCAACACGACTGCCCAAAGCGGCGCCTCAAGTGCGAGTTCTGTGGCTGTGACTTCAGTGGGGAAGCCTATGAGGTGAGTGGGTCCTGGCTGAGGGTGAAGGGAGGGTGGGGCAGCAGATGGCCCAGGCATCCCTTAACTCAACCCCTCCATCATCACTACAGAGCCATGAGGGTATGTGCCCCCAAGAGAGTGTGTACTGTGAGAACAAGTGTGGTGCCCGCATGATGCGGCGACTACTGGCCCAGCATGCCACTTCTGAGTGCCCCAAGCGCACCCAGCCTTGTACCTATTGCACAAAGGAATTTGTCTTTGACACCATCCAGGTAAGCCCTTTCCTGAGCTGTGGGTTGTGGGGTAGAAGATATAGGAGTCAGTCTATTGACTGCTATCTCTGTGGTCCCAGAGTCACCAGTACCAGTGCCCAAGGCTGCCTGTGCCCTGCCCTAACCAGTGTGGCGTGGGCACTGTGGCTCGGGAGGATCTGCCAAATCATCTGAAGGACAGCTGTAGCACTGCCTTGGTGCTATGCCCATTCAAAGACTCCGGTTGCAAGCACAGGGTGAGATGCCCCTTCTTCCTGTCAACCCCTCTTTAGCCCATGAAGTCCTAGATGAAGGCTAGGTTTCCTGGCAGTTCATTTCTTTGAGGTCCTTCCCCCTGCTGATCAGCTGCAGGTTCTTCCTAGCACCCTGTCTTCCTCATGCAGAGTTGGGTGCCTGCTACCCCTGCGCCTTCCCCTTTTGGTAACAGTCCTCCTTTCCCTCATTGCCTGGGGCTTTGCCAACAGTGCCCTAAGCTGGCAATGGCGCGGCACGTGGAGGAGAGTGTGAAGCCACATCTGGCTATGATGTGTGCCCTGGTGAGCCGGCAGCGGCAGGAGTTGCAGGAGCTGCGTCGAGAACTGGAGGAACTATCAGTAGGCAGTGATGGCGTGCTCATCTGGAAGATTGGCAGCTATGGGCGGCGGCTACAAGAGGCCAAGGCCAAGCCCAACCTCGAGTGCTTCAGCCCAGCCTTCTATACACATAAGTATGGTTACAAGCTACAGGTGTCTGCATTCCTTAATGGCAATGGCAGTGGTGAGGGTACACATCTCTCTCTGTACATTCGTGTGCTACCAGGCGCCTTTGACAATCTCCTTGAGTGGCCCTTTGCCCGTCGTGTCACTTTCTCCCTGCTGGATCAGAGCGACCCAGGGCTTGCTAAGCCACAGCATGTCACTGAGACTTTCCACCCTGACCCAAACTGGAAAAACTTCCAAAAGCCAGGCACTTGGCGAGGCTCCTTGGATGAGAGTTCTCTGGGTTTTGGATACCCCAAGTTCATCTCCCACCAGGATATCCGAAAGCGAAACTACGTGCGAGATGATGCAGTCTTCATCCGTGCCTCTGTTGAACTGCCCCGGAAGATCCTCAGCTGAGTGCAGAGCTGGCAGGCTCAAGGGGAGAAGGGGGCATGGATGGGACATGATTTATCAGGCACTGGTTGAACCTGGAGAGGGGGCGGGACCTCCTTTCAGCTGCTTATGCTGCCTGGGTTGTTACCCTGTTTTCCCCCTACCACTACCACCCTCAGGTGCCTCCAATTGGTGCTTCAGCCCTGGCCCCTGCGGGGAGCAGGTCTCTGGGTTATCAAGGGCTGGAAACAAGTGATCCCAGGGCCTGTCTCCCCTCCTGGGCAGGGCAGGTATGCCTTGGTGCCAACCACATTCTACCTGGACTGAGGTACCTGCTCAGGTGCTTTGTCCCAAGAGCCATAGGGGGAGGGATTGGGAAAAGGAGGGGTAGTTAAAAAAAAAAAAATCTGTCTTGAGATTTGATTTTTCTTTCCCCAGCTGTGTCCCTTCTGGTTATTTATTTCCTTAGCACCAGGAAGGCACAACAGGGGAGCCCTGATTTTTAATAAATCCTGAATTGTATTTATTAACTTGGTTCCAGCCTGTCTCCTCCGAGTTAGTTAAGTCCCTGGGAGGTTGGGGCTAACTATGCAAAGGACCACTGAGAGAAGTGCTGCCACTATGACCCCAAGATCAGCTGCCCTGCTGAGTCGCCCTCTGGTGGGCACCAGGGGGGACCACAGCAGACTTTGGAAAAGACTTGTTGCTGCCTCCTGGTGGTTAAATGGGAAAGGTGCAGGATAAGGCTGGAATCCCCAGTTCTTTACTCACCAAAAATCAAATGCTGTGTCATAAGCCCCACCCCCAGCCCTCTGGTACTGGGGATTGAACCCAGGGGCACTCTGTTAATGAGCTACATGCCCAACCCTTTTTTATTCAGAGGGGTCTCAGTTGCTGAGGCTGGCCTTGAACTGTGATCCTCTGCCTCCTGAGTTGTATCATCAAGCCTGTCTCCTGATGACAACTGTCATTCATTTAGTACTTTCTGGTTACAGACACTGCCATGAACTTGATGCAAGATATTTCTTTCCATGTAGCAGTCAAGTTAAATTAACTTTTACATCATAGTAAAAGGACCTGTCTAAGTGGGTCTTATTGAAGTTAATGAGACAATACATGTTCCTGACATTTATTCTAAGTGCTTAACAAATGTTAACCTAACCGAAGCCAGCCTATACCTGGGGACTGACTAGAGGTGTCTTCAAGATGTACAAGGCAAGCTAGGTTTGTGGCTCAGTGGTAGAGCGCGTGTGTGAGACACTGGGTTTGATCCTCGGCAACAAAGAAAACAAAGGTCTACAACTAAAAGAAAAAAGAGATACAAGGCACTTGAACCTTTTTGTCCATCCTTCATATAGGCCTCAGTGGCCACCTGCAGTCACCCATACTTTACCAGCTAGGAACATTAGTGAATTATCAGTACTCTTTCAGCTGGTCTAGGACAGGGCTGAATTTCTTTTTTCCCCCTGGTGCTGAGTATCCTTGTTCATGCTACCCATATGCTCTACTGAGCTACAACTCCAGCCCCAAGATTCTTTTAAAACTCCAGAAATATAGCTCCAATTCTGGCAATACACTTGGGCTTGCATTTGGCAAGTTTCTTAGCTACATGGGGATTAATTCTGCTCAATTCTAGATTTTGTTGAAATGATTAAATGAACTAATCAAAACCTGCCTTAGTGGTCTTGTTTAGCCTTGGGAAGAAGCCCAAATTGTGGAAACTGTTACCTAGTAAAGTTAAGGAATTATTTTTGTCAAAGGGTAATGTGAAAAAGCCATTTATCAGCTGACAGGGAAGGACTAAGCCAGAGCCTGGGAGCTCTCCCCTAACCATCTTTTCAAAGAAGGTACATTTCACTACCAGAAGTTGGGGCCCTAGCTGAGGAGACAAATCAGCGTAGTACAGTGATACCTGGAAAATGGTAGAGAAAACTATCAGAGGAAATGCCTCTACCAGGCAACAGGTGAAACTGCCCTTCCAGCATCTCAGAGAAACTAGAAAGCCTGAATCAAAGCTGGGTGTTCTCTGCTGCCAGGACGCAGCTATTGCACGATTCCAGGAGGGGCACATTGATATGAACTGCCTCTAGAACAAATCATGCAGTTGACTCCTCCAACCAGCTTGGTAGGGCTGGCTCGCTCTACTTTGTGAAACTTGGGCCAGGTTCTGCATCAGTGTGTGCCTAACTCCCAAGTTGTCTCACCTGCCACTGCTTAGCTCCACATGAGTTGGTGGACTGCCAAGACTCTTCTGAGGATTTCTTACGGTAACATGAGGAGTAAAGGGGGCAATGCATCCTTTTTGTACTGGAGACTGAACTCAGGACCTAGGTAAGCACTCTTATCACTAAGCTACATTAATTGTTAAGGCTAGCATTTGCACCACTGCCTGTAATCCACAGTGGTGTTTACCCTCTTGCACATAAATGAGGTAAAGTTCTCTAGTAGTCAACATGAGGAAATTTAATTCACCAAAGGAGCTTTCATGTTGCACCTATTACCTCCACCTCTGTCAGAGGCCCTCAGAAATCGCAATGCTGAAGCAAGGAGGAGAGAAGCCTAAAATTTTTTGGTTCTCTTATGGGCAAACCAGATCTCCATTTTTAACAACTCATGGTCTTTATAGTGAAAGTGGCAGAATCCTTTGGGCTGCTAGCGAGAGGCATACTTACCCCCCAAATTTCACAGGCCCTAGGAGCCCAGCTTGGATGGAGGGCTGCCATCTCTCTCAACCCCCTGGGGGAGTCACCACGGCGGTTTGAGTGGAATTAATATTACAGGACCCTACTACCACCAGCACAAGTAGGGAGACAAGTTAGAAAATGACATAAGAAAACATCACCTCAAACATTCACCACAGTAAACGAATAGAACAAGGTCAAAAGGTGAGTTTTTTCTTTTTACTGGTTTATAATAATCTTAAAAACCCCATCACACCCATAAACCACCACAGGTGAGGTGAGAGATGGAGAATGAATGCTACAGTATGTGGATATAGAGTGGGGAATCCAGGTATTCCCTAGGGGTGGCATGGGATGTGTGGATAGGAGGCAGGGAGTGTGGGTAGGAGGCCCTGGCTTGGACCCTTATTGCTGGTTGGGGGTTGGCTGGCAGAGGAGCAGGGGACTCAGGTTGAACTAGGAAACATCTCACACCAAAGGCGAGGGTAGTTCGTTGGGGGTGGGGGATCACAGTACATTTTCCATGCAGACTAGGGGTGGGAGTGAGAGCTTCAGAGACTTGCACCCCTACACAGGAAGAAATGGGTTTGAGGTTGTTTGGACTTAAAGCCCCCAAATTGGTGTCTGGTCCGGTTTCCTAAAATGGCAGCTCACCTTTTGGGGAGAGAGATGGGGAAGGGGGTTACAGCAAGAATATCTGATTTGGAAATCAAGCAAGAGATAAGGGTAAACAGTAGTGCTCATTAAACTTGACTCAGAACAGCAGGACTGGAAGGGGGCCCTGGGTGAGACAGTGGCCAACACCTGGGGAGAAGGCATCCACCAGAAGCTGCAGGGGCTCCTGAGGGCTCAGGGATAAGGGGGGTACCAGTGTACACAGACAGTAGGAAAACAACTGGGAACAATAAATTAGGACTTCATGTTGCTATCATTTGGCATAACACAATCAGGCAGTTTTTTCCTTTTTTTTTTTTCTTTTTAAATATAAGGCAACTTGCCAACACATAATTTAAAAACTGGTCTTCAGTCACATTGCTTCAGATCACTAGAGAACTTCTGGCTAAGGAACAGTGGATAGTAAACAGAACCCAAAATCTTAAATATCAGCTTACATTCCCCAGAGACAGGAGAAAAGGTAAGGGCTTATTTGGTTAAAGAAAAAAAAAAAAGCCCATTGTGCATCTTTAACAGAAGATGGGTGCATAATTTACAACAAAACAAAAATCTAAGTTTAAAGTTACATAAAAGTGTTAAGTTTCTAGCCAACTAATTGTCACTTGGGAATGAGATGTGTTGAGCATGGAGTAGGTGGGGGATGCTCTGAGAATGGACTGTGGTAGGAGGGGCTGTTTCCAATATAAGCCCATCTCCACTAGTTAAAACCATGCTCATTTGGTTGAGGAAGAATTCAAAGAGCTTTAAGGCTTTGTGTTTGTTTTTTCTTTTCTCTCCTTTCTTCATTAAACTGAGGGGCTGCAAAGGAGGTGATTAGGAGGGTGAATGTACCTGTGGGGCCACTCATACACAATGCTACTCAAACCCACACTACATTCATACAGAAACATGACATTTAAAACTTACAGTGTAGAACAATATTCTTAGCCAGTGTAGAGAGAACCAAATGCTTTTTTTTTTTTTCTTTTTGTTTTTGGTGTTTTTAATTTCAAACTCCAATGTGATCATCCCTTACCCACCTAATTCCTTGAGTAAGGTAGTTTTTGTTCTGCTTTTCTGGAGGGCAGAGGGGAGAGGGTAGAGGGATAAGGACACAGTTAAGTTAGGAGAGAGGCAACAGTGAGAAGGGGTTTGCTAGATGGCCACTGAATTTCTCCAGGTCTGGAAGCAAAGTCAGGAAACAAGATGCCAAGACAAAGACATTTTTCTCCATGTAGCAAAGACTATGGCCAAATACCTGCAAGATGGCCTTGAGTCCAGTGTGGCAAAGGCAAACACAAGTGCAGTGGCTATAGAAAGCAATATAAAAGCAAACCAGGGGCTGGGGATGTGGCTCAAGCGGTAGCGCGCTCGCCTAGCATGCGTGCGGCCCAGGTTCGATCCTCAGCAGCACCACATACCAACAAAGATGTTGTGTCCGCCGAGAACTAAGAAAAAATAAATAAATGTTAAAATTCTCTCTCTCTCTCTCTCTCTGTCCCCCTCTCTCTCACTCTCTCTTAAAAAAAAAAAAAAAAAAAAGGCAAACCAAAGCCTTTAGTAAGGAGTGGGGAGGAGATGGAATAGGTCAGTTTTGATTTGAGATCTTTGGGTGAATAAGGATTGAGCTTCCAGAGCACTTGCAAAGTCTTGCTTATTAGTTCTAAAGGGAGAGGCCTAGCTTAGGGCCTAAGGCCCCTTCCCTTAGTCACACTTCAGCCCTAAGGGAAACAGGTAGAGGTTCAGGAAAAGATGGAAGGAGGTTGGTGGGAAATGGCCAAGGTGAAGTCAGACTTAATAGGCAGGCAGTGGAGATGATAAAATCCTGTCTTCAGGGATACACTGTTAACATGAAAACAAAAGTTGCTGAAAGGGAGGACAAGAGAACCCCTTCTTCCCCTAATTGGATTCTGTCAAGTTCCCTCCCTTAAATGTCTTAGAATGATCACATTGGAGCAGTGAAACTTTGAAACTATCCAGTTACTTAAAGTAAGACTAAACCTAGAAGGGTGATGTATGAAGTGTTGCTTAAGGAGGGCACCATGGCTCCCTATCTATACCCCGGGTGCTGAATATGAAGACTTCGACTATCAGTGGGATCAGGGGCTCGGCTGCCAGGGGCTCGGTGGGCCTTGCTCAGCATGGCCAGGCTCTGTTCTCGGAAGCAGGCCTGTTGGAAATCCCCACTCAGGTAATCCACCGTTTGCATCAAGGTGTTCTGGCTTGCCACTGGACCGCCCCCAGTCCCTGCTCGGTAGTGGGCCCCAGGAGCTGCCGCACAGTCGAGGGGTGCACCTGTGGGCTGCCCACCGTGGAACGGCATGGCAAGGTCCTGAGACCCCGAGCTGTCGCTATTGGGAGTGGGCAGAATGTTGTTCCATAAGGGTTGGAAGTAGTGACCATTGGGGTAGGCCAATGGGGCTGCCAGGCCGTTGACTGGTGGGGATGGGGTCGGCTTCTCCAGGGGTGGCTTCAGGTGGAACGACTGTGCCAGGCAGAGTTCCTGCGGGTAGGCAGGGGCCTTACCCACAAAGCCAGGCCCTGCCAACTCACGTCCTGCTGCATGCTTGCCTGTCAGGCCAGGAGCTGGTGTCCCACCAGCCTCGCTGCACATCTGTTGTAGGTGGGCCAGCTGGTGCTGGTTCCAGGCAACTGGCTTGAGGTCGCTAGAGTAGCCAGTGGGGGCTCGAGAGATGCCTGTGGGCAAGTTGACAGGACCTGTGGCAGGCAATGCGGCTGGAGCCGCATGGGTGTGCTCCATGGGATTGACCACACATGAAGGCATTGGTGTGGGGACGCTGTGGGTTGATACCCGAGTGCTTGCATTGATGAGCAGACTGCGACTAATGGGGCTGGGGTTGGCGATCTGGCCCTCACACACTGAGGTAGTGCTGATGCCTGCCCTCGTCTGGCAAAACTGGTTGATCTGGTGCACGATGCTGCTCAGGTCCGGGGGCTGGCTGTGCTGCAGGGTGGCCGCCATTGAAAGGGGGATAGTTGAGGTAGACACGGTCACATTCGGGGGGGCATCTGAGTCTGGCATCTTCCGGCCTCCATGCAGCAAGGGATTGGAGGGGTGCTGGAGACCCTGGTGAGCCAGGGCCTGAGGGTGGACCAAGCCCTGGGTTTGGGCCATGGGCTGAGTATGGCCCAGGCCCTGAGGCTGCTGGAGGCTCTGAGGGTGAGACAGCGCCTGTGGTGGCGGGATACCCTGAGGGTGCTGCAGCGTCTGGGGAGGGGCATGGGCCAGGGTCTGTGCATGCTGCAGGGCCTGCTGGCGGGCCAGAGCCTGGGCCTGGGGATGGGCTAAAGTGCTTGGTGCCACAGTAGCATAGGGTGCCACTGGGGGGTTCATGATGGCCTCAGGGAGTAACCGGGCTCGGGTGCCGTCAAAGTCCTTGAGTATGCTTTTGGCTGGCACTTTGACAATGGCAAGCAGGCCTGCCTTGGTGGCAGCCTGAGTCGGGTAGGGGCTGTAGCGCTGAGCTGATGTGTCGAGGCCGTTCACAGTACGACGAACGTGTTTCCGCTGGGGAACCTTCACACTGTTGGGGAAGATTTTTATAGTCAGTGGGTTGTTTGCGACCTTCTTAGCATACGCATCCAATTCGGCTGGGGTGGGATAGTGAGCAGTTCTCATTTTCTGTGTAGTGTCCCCTAGAGAGAAAGAGAGGGGAAGGAGAGCAAAGAGGGAGGGAGCTCATCAGTGCCAAGCCAACTAGCCCTTCTAGACTCCCCTGTTGAGATCCTAGGAAAGGGGTGGGGATTAGGTTGTCATCTGCAGCTTTCACTGCAGATTTAGCCTCAGCCCTCACAATCATAGGCACTGCTGACATTTAGTATAGTACAGTGGGCCAGGCAGGCCTTGTGTTAAGCGATAGGTTATCTCAATGATCTTCCTGACTGTTGGAGAAGATAAGTACTATCATGTCCCCATTTTATAAATGAAAAACTGCAAAGCAGCTTTCTAAGATTCTCATGGTAGAGAGCCAGAACCTAACCAATTCTCACATAGCTAACCAAGAGTTCTTCCCCTACATGGAACTTTTAAGTTCCTACCATTCCAAGCTGATATGGGGGTTGAAGGTTCTAAGCAGAGTAGCATGTCAGGAATACTCAAGTCCCTTCCTATAACACTCTGGTAAAAAGGGTACCCACAGTGGCTACTGTTCAGCCTGCAGTGGCCAGTGAGGCATCAAACTTTCCCTTGTGCCTTCCTTGGCAGCTGGGGTGCCATGGGTAGACATGTCCATCTGGCACAGCTGACAGGATGCTTCTTTTTCAGGAGCAGAGGAAGAAGCTGTCAACGTCTCTTCCTCATCCATGTCACAAGTTCACTTTTGTTTAAGTTTATTCTGTGCCTTACTGGGTGAAGATCAAAAGGCTTTATTTATTTCCCTGTGTGGAGGGTGATAATAAATGACAGGGCAGCAGGGAGGGAACTGAGCATCTTTAAGTCCTGGGAGCCAAAAATAGTTCCTTTTTGGTCCACAGCAACTGTCACTTTCCAAAAAGAAAGAGGAAAACCTGCCTTCCCTTGGAGACTGCGGAAATACCCACTCAATGTGCCTCATTAATGTTAACAGTCTCTTTGTTCCCATCTCCCAGGGCCTCCCATCAGGAGGCTCCAGCGGATGTAGGGCTTCCAAAAAGGAAAAGGTTCCCTGAACAATAGCTCTTTAAGGATGCCTGGCTCCTGCAAGAGGTCTCTGCTCAGTGCTCACTCTCTCAAAGGAGGGACTCCCCTGAGTATACACAAAAGGTGCTTAATAAATGCTTGCTGAATGAGAAAGTACACACACTGACTGCCCAAAGGAGAAGGAAAGTGCTTGGCTATGGGCCTGGGCTCAGATAGTCGACTCCCTCCCTGTTTCCTCCCTTGCAGAAGACAGACAGGACAGATCAAGGACTCATCTGCTGAATGCCCAGCTTGTGGCCTCAGCTGGCCTTGGCCCAAAGTAGACCCCATTCAAGTCACTGGGTACCAACTGCAACAAGAGCCAACTAGTGAATGTCTTAAATGGAAAAGGGCACAGCTGCCTATGTTTGGTGACATTGCTGGTTAGCTGGCAACAACTGCTTAGAAACTGCTGCTCTCTGAAGCAGGAAAAGAAAGCTCAAGTTTAGGAGGGACGGGGAAATTTGGTCTCATGCTCAAAAAAAAAAAAAAAAGAGACAGTCGTAAGTGAAAAGAGAGCATACAGAGAGGAAAAAGGTCTGTTCCTTCAAATACTTAATAGATGTCTCCTATATATTTAAGGACCTGCTTTAAGGACTTGCTTTACTTGCTGAGGATAGGATAGATGCTCATGCATAAATGAAATAAATGTTGTGAATATCTGCTTTGGGAATGGTCATTAAAAAGATAAATATGCCAGGCGTGGTGGCGCACGCTTGTAACCCTAGTGACTTGGGAGGCTGAGGCAGGAGGATTGCAAGTTTAATTCCAGCCTCAGCAACTTAGCGAGGCCATAAGCAACTCAGTGAGACCCTGTCTCTAATAAAATATAAAAAAGGGCTGGGGATGTGGCTTGGTGATTAAGTGTCCCCGAGTTCAATCTCTGGTACCCTCCTCCAAAAAAAAAAAAAAAAGATAAACGTGAGGTGATGCTTGGTGGCACACGCCTGTAATACCAGCAGCTCAGGAGGCTAAGGCAGGCTGATTAACAGGCTGATCACAAGTTCCAGGCCAGCATCAGCAACTTCGTGAGACCCTATTTATAAGTAAAAAAAAAAACGGTTTAGCACATCTGGGTTCAGTCTACAGTACAAAACAACTAATGGTGACAACTGAGGGCAAGAAGAAGGGGAAGGTAGGGAGGCCCAGAAATCTCCTATCCACAAGGCAGCACTATCTGATCAGAGTATAAAGCCCTAAAATCAGGGTTTCAGTTCTATCATTTCTTTTAAGCCACTGACCCTAAATGGGCTTCAGTCACCATTCAGAGTGGCTATTTTCTGTCCCTTCTTAGTCTCCTGGACAAGAATATAATTAAAAAAAAAAAAAGTAGTAGTAGTAGTAGTAGTAGTAGTAGTCTGGGATCACTAAGAGCTAAACTCAGGACAGCCGAATTCTAGCACAGGGGCTGGGGATGTGGCTGGGGCTGTGGCTAAAGTGGCAGCGCGCTCGCCTGGCATGCATGCGGCCCAGGTTCGATCCTCAGCACCACATACAAACAAAGCTGTTGTGTCCGCCGAAAACTAAAAAATAAATATTAAAATTCTCTCTCTCTCTTAAAAAAAAAAAAAAAAAGAATTCTAGCACAAGTTGCCCCGATTAGCCACTGTACATAAGAGTCTGACTGGTCAGAATCATGAGATAATCCTAGCACTGTGCCTTACCCGAAGCAGACACAATTAGTATAGGTACTGCATGACTGAACAAGTGGGGCTCAGCTGAGGAATGGAAGGCAGAAGCTGCTGGGTATTAGTTCAGACATGAAATACAGGTCTGCCTTCGGGTCCTCAACACCACTTCCACGTAGGTGGGCTTTTCTCCTTGAAATCCAATTAGGGGGCAGAGGTACAATAAGTAGCTTCTTGAATAAGAGTTCCTTTCTTCCAACTCTCAGGTTGGTTTTCTCTGTGAGAGGAAAGAGGTCAGGTTGGCCTCATTCAGGAATATGGAAAGGATACTTAATGATACTGATTAGTTCTCTCTCTCCTATCTTCACTGATACTGGCAGTGGTAACAAGGACAGTCAAATGAAGCAATCAGAAATAAAGAAAAATAAGGGTGGGAAAGGTGCGCACGAGGTACTTACAGAATCCTTCCCCTCACCCTCAGTAGGGTGGAATGATTGAACCCAGGGGTGTTCTACCAACTGAGCTGCAACCCCAGTCCTTTCAAGTTTTGAGATAGTGCCTCAGTAAGTTGCCCAGGTTGGCCTTAGACTTGGAATCCTCCTGCTTCAGCCTCCTGAGCCACTCTTTTTTCCTTCTTCTTTTTTGTTTTATTTTGTACCAGAGATTGAACCCAGGGGTGCTTAACCACTATGCCATATCCCTAGCACCTCTAACCCTTTTTCTTGGAACCAGGGATTGAGTGAGGAGTAGAATTCTTAGGTCATGAAATTGTTGAAATTTTCACCAAATTAAAAAAGAAGAATGCTGGGTATACAATAGATATTCCATTATTATGTGAAAAATGTTCATATCAAATTAGGGTTGTTTTTTTTTTTTGGGGGGGGGTTGCCGGTACTAGGGTTAAACCTAAAGGTACTTAACCTTTCTTTCCTTCTTTCTTTATTTGAGATGGGGTCTTACTATGTTGCCCAGGCTGGCTTTGAACTCCACGATACTCCTACCTCAGCCTTCTAAGTATCTGGAACTACAGAAGCATTCAACCACAACCAACTTCTTTCTCAAAACTTTCTTATCACATCCCACACAAGCATGCTGGCACCTTCCTTCTGTAAAATATTCCTTTATATAATCAACACAAATACCACAGTTCTGTGAGAAATTTAGTTAAATATCTGGAACCAATGGTGTCATTAATAGATATATAAAATAGGACTATGAATTGGGATTCCATGGTTAGAAAACACTATAGTTTTGTCCAGGAGCTAGAGTAAAAAAAAATCTTGAATCCGGGGCTGGGGCTGGGGCTGTAGTTTAGTGGCAGAGCTCTTGCCTAACATATGTGAGGCACTGGGTTCAATCCTTAGCACCACACAAAATAAATAAATAAATAAATAGACAAAACTATGCTATCCATTGATAACTTTTTTTTTTTTTTTTAAAGAGAGAGTGAGAGAGGACAGAGAGAGAGAGAGAATTTTTAATATTTATTTTTTAGTTCTCGGCGGACACAACATCTTTGTTGGTATGTGGTGCTGAGGATCGAACCCGGGCCGCACGCATGCCAGGCGAGCGCGCTACCGCTTGAGCCACATCTCCAGCCCCCATTGATAACTTAAAAAAAAAATTAAAACAAAAATCTTGAATCCAATCTTCCCTAAAGAGACTGCTCTGCTTACTCATCTATTCTAAAGGCCAAACGACTGGAGAGAAACAGGCAAGTGTGTTTTAAACACAGGCTTTGGAGACTGATCTGATTAAGTTTTGGCTTAGTCACTGACATAGACAAATGACAAATCCTTAAAAGAAAAATAAGAGAACCAGTAATCCTAGTGACTCGGGAGGCTGAAGCAAAAGAATTCCAAGTTCAAGGCCAGTCTCAGCAATTTGGCAACTAAACAACTTAGTGAGACCCTGTTTCAAAACAGAACACTGCTGGATATGATGGTGAAAACCTGTAATCCCAGTGACTTGGGAGACTGAGGCAGGTGGATTGCAAATTTGAGGCCAGTATCAGCAACCTATTGAGGCCCTAAGCAATTTAGCAAGACCCTGTCTCCAAAAACAGTCTGGGGATGTAGCTTAGTGGTAAAACACCACTAGGTGTAATCCCTAGTACCAAAATGAAAAAAAGAAGGAAGGAAGGAAAGTCTCTTATATAATAATACTAAGGAATGAATGAGAACATATGGCTAGGTGCAGTGATGTATGCCTGCAATCCCAGCTACTTGGGAGGGTAAGGCAGGAGGATAGCTTGAGCACCTAGGAGTTTGTGACTAGCTTGAGCAACACAGTGTCTCCTCATCTTTAAAAAAAAAAAAAGAGAGAGAGAGAGAGGGAGGGAGGGCGAGAGC